CGAAACAGCTGTTTCGCAGCGCAACCACTGGGAGCGAGGGGGAAAAAGCGGGTACGTGGTGCGCTCAGGGGAGGAGGCGGAGGTGAGATGTGGCGGGGGGCGGGGAGCTGCTGGTGGGTACTAAGCACTCACCAATTTTTCCCCGTGGGTGCTCCAGCCCCAGAACACCCACAGAGTCGGCACCTATGACCGTTCATTGGCTTGTGTGAAGTTGAGTTTGATGACTCTCCAGTCCAGTTCCCAGTGGGCAGCTGTCCACAGCGGGCCCCCAACCCCACCATCCTGGTCATACCACTGCACGCGGCGAGAGCTTGGCACATCTCAAGTAGAGCCAGCCGTAATAGGGAGCAGTGTCTGGATGCGCTTTCCCAGACAAGCGGTGACATTTTCCCTAGCTCCTGCTCACTCAGGTTACCATAAACGGACTCACATGAACCTCACTCCATTTACTGCTGTGAAATGTCTCAACTCATACCTGTGTGCAGACGGTCCAGCTTTCACACTGAGGGCAATTCCGGGAAGGCAGGAGTGACCGTGATGTGATTGATTCTGCCCTCAGGCTGACGGCCTATGTGGCGAAGGTCTTTGCCATGGCTAAGAAACTGGTGCCCATTGAAAACCAAGTTATCTGTGGGGCGGTGAAATGGCTGATCCTGGAAAAGCAGAAACCGGATGGAGTCTTCCAAGAAGATGCCCCTGTATGCCACGGAGAGATGGTTGTATGTGTTTCCTTTGACTTTTACACACCAATCACTACCCACCTCAATCATCACAGCAACTTGTTGGTTCATAATTGAAAGGGACGTGTTACTGGGCTACATCCCAAAGTCTGTGCTCACGCAGACTGATCTCCTCTCTCTCTCTCCCATCAGTGGAACAACCCAGTGCAGTTACCTGGGCAGCAGTGAATGGAGATTCAGGCCCAATGGGCCAGATTGTATCTATTTAGTCCTTAGTGGACTTCATGGAGTCTTTGCACTTCTCCCTTGTTGGGGGTAAACATTCTGTTGGGGGTAGATCATTTTTGGTTGTGTTGTTGTCCGGGGTTTAGGAGTGGAGGGGGGGGTCATTGTTGGAGCTAGGGGTGTCAGGGTTGGGATTTAGAGGTTCCAGGGTTTAGGGTGTGTCAGTGTTAGGGTTTATAAGGGAAAAGGGGGTGTTGGTGTCAGGCTTTTGGAGGTGTCAGTATCAGGATTTAGGGGTCTCAGTTTTAGGGTTTAGGGTAGAAGGGGTTGTCAGTGTCGAGGTTTGGAGGCTTCAGTGTCAGGGTTTAAGGTGTAGAAGGGGGCATCAGTGTCAAGTTTTAGGGGTATCAGTGGTGGGGTTTAGGGGTCTCAGTATTAGGGTTTAGGGGTGTCAGTGTTTAGCAGAGGTGCTGGAACTAGGGGTGCGCGGGGTGCTGCAACAACCCCTGGCTTCAAGTGGTTTCCATTATATACAGAGTTACAGTTTGATTCAATGGCTCTCAGCACCCCCACTATAAACATTGTTCCCGCACCTCTGGTGTTTAAGGCTGTCAGTGTCTGGGTTTAAGGGGTCTGTGTGTTAGGGGTCTCAGTGTTAAGGTTTAGGGCAGAAGGGGGTGTCCATATCTGGGTTTAGGGGATGTCCGTGTGTGGGTTTATTAGATAGAAGGGGGTCAGGTTTGTTATGTGAGTATTGTTCTCGTGGTGGGAAGATGTCTCCAAAGGGGATAGTTTTGCAGCATTTACTAAAGACACTTAGGCTCTGGCCTGGCCTGATGTTCCCTGGGCATTGTCTCCCCAGCCAACTCCCCTCGACTGAGAATGCCTTGTCCTCGCCTCTCATGCGTTTCATCCTGGGCTTAGTGATTTGCATTGTCCCAGAGGAGCGCAGCTGTCTTGGTGATTCACAGGCCAAAGTTTGGTCTTTGATGTCACTGGGGCTTGATCCATTAACGCACGGGAATCTGCCTGGGAGCTAGTGGCAGGACCTGAGCACCGGCCTGGTGAGCTAAATTCTCTCACGCTGGTTTAATACGAAGCATCTCTATTGACTTGGATGGAGTTCCTCCACACTGACAAAGGAGTAACTGAGATCAGAACCTGGCCCACTGCATGACAGGTGTTCGTTAGCCAACGGGAGGTTCAGCGATAGGTCTGGCCATGACTGAGAGTCCATTCTTGGGTAGCTTTCTAGGAAGCATGTGTTCTAATTTCCTATGCTGAGGGCCTGGGATTAATTCTTTCTTTTCATGGTACTCGGGGGACTTTCTTATCCCAAATCTGTCCTTTGCTCCCCTTTAGGGAGGGTACAAGGGTGCTGAGCCTGATGTCTCGTTAACGGCTTTTGTGCTGATTGCATTGGAAGAGGCCAAGGACATCTGCAAGGATCAAGTCAATGTGAGTATCTCTGCACCGTATGTGCACTTCTATGTTCATACCCAGGTTTTCCCATCTTTTCATCCCCTATGAACCACGCCCCGTGGCATGTGGAATTTGCGGGGGAAGGAGCTAGTCAATCTGCATTGATTCATGCCATATATAAGCAAATAAAAAAAACCTGTTTCCTCTAAGCTTATAGAAACAAAGCGTATAGGTTCAGAACATTCTAGGAGGTTAGTGAAAAATGAATCCACATACGGAATACCGGAAACGTTTTACTTCAAACATTTGATTTCCACTTTTTCTTTAACAACAAAAACAGCACCCCGAGCCCGGCACCCCCCAGGTGGTCGCCTGGATTGCCTGCCCTTAAATCTGGCCCTGGTCTGTCGTATCAGACAGAAGCTGCAAAGAGGAGGATGAGATGATGTGGTCGGCACATACAAAGGGGACGAAGAGAATCTTAGGCGCCGACTCTGTGGGTGCTCTGGGGCTCAAGCACCCATGGAAAAAAATAGGGGGTGCCCTGGCTGGCTCCCGATCAGCTGTTTAGCAGGTCCCTGGGGCTGTCCACTGATCAGCAAGCGGCTGGCGGAAGGCGCGAGGGGGAGGGGATAGATAAGAGGGAGTGGCAGGCTGGCGGGGGGGGGGGCTTTGAGGGAGAGGGTGGAGTGGGGGCAGGAAGAGACAGAGGAAGGGTGGGGCCTCAGCGGAGGTGGCAGGGCAGGGACAGGAAGAGGTGGATAAATCATACATGCGAATCGTGCATCAAAGTGGTGAAATGGGCTACAAATGCAATAAAAATAAGGTATTCAAAAATGTAACAGAGGGGGGGACACCAAAGACGCTCTGGGGTGCCGTTTGGGCTAGGGCCGGCCCTGCCACAGACTTTGGTTTCACTCCTGATGACATTCTGCATGTGGTCCAGAAATGTCCCTTTTCACTGTCCTCAAATATCTCACCTTCCTACCTCCTCCATCTTTCACCAGCACAAAATTCACTGTGAAATTAAATAAAGCTGGAAGCCACATGAATTCGTAATGTAACCCACACAGCTCCTGGTGCGGTGTTCTCTTCCCATCTAGTGGCACTAAGACCACTTAGCGAGAGATCAATGAGTCTGCTCTAGAGCCTTCGGGCTTTTAGTTCATGCAGGAAAGGCTCATGCATTTAGCATCCTGCCTGCCGACGACCAGGGTCTGTCGGTGTTAGATTAACTTCAATAACTCAGGCATAGGTTAGGGATTTGTTACAGGAGCGGGTAGGTGAGATTCTGTGGCCTGCGTTGTGCAGGAGGTCAGCCTAGGTGATCATAATGGTCCCTTCTGACCTTAAAGTCTATGAGTCTAACACCACCCAAGACCTCAGCCTAACTCACGAGTTTAATTTTCTTTTGTTTTCTTTGTCACCTCCTAGAGTTTGGAAGGCAGCATCAGCAAAGCTGCTGATTACTTAGCCCAAAGGTACCAGTCTCTAGTCAGACCTTACACTGTGGCTCTTGCGTCCTATGCCTTAGCGATGGTGGGGAGACTGGACACCGAGAAGGCGCTCATGAAAGCTTCGACAGGTAAATGAGGGCATCTTATCAAGTACTGGAAAGATGTGGCCAAGTCAGGATGGGGTTCAGGGAAGAGAAGCAAAGGAGGTTGGGGATTGGTCCTGCTTTGAGCAGGGGGTTGGACTACATGACCTCCTGAGGTCCCTTCCAACCCTGATAGTCTAGGTGGGAGAGGGATTAATTTATGAGGAATGAATAACAGGCATAGAATTGTTCCTTTTGGCCAGATTTGAGATTGATCGGGCTGGGTGTAAATTCAGAGTAACTCTCGTGGGTTGAGTGGAGTTACTCCAGATTTACACCAGTGTGTCTGAGATCTGGATGTGGCAGAGATATATGGTATTACTTGTCCTCAGGAGGAATCGGAGAGCCCTGTACGTATATCTAAAGGATGTAAACCCCAAAGAGAAAGAGAGAGAAAAGAGTGGGTCAAGAGGATGTAACTGGATGAAACTGAACAAAGGGGAATTTCAGAGGATAGAGAATAATATTGCCCACAAAGAAAATGGAGTTTGCCCCATTGTTTGGGATAGTTAAAACAGGGCAGGACAAAGCTGTTGTCTAGATATAACAATGTTATGTTGAAAGGTGCCAGGTGGGTCTTTGATCCCCAAATGGTCACAGACCTTGGCCATGTCTACAATGCAGGGACTAGAGCGGCACAGCTATGGTGCTGTAGCTATGCCGGTATCACCCCCTATTGTAGACACAGACTGCACCCATGGAAGGGGTTTTCCATCTCTGTAGGAACTTCACCACCATGGTCAATGGTAGCTAGGTCAACTGAAGCATTTTTCCATTGACTTAGCAGTGTCTGCACTAGGGGTTAGTTTGGCATAGCTATAGCACTCCGGAAGGGTGTGTGTGTGTAGATTTTTCACATGCCCTGAGTCACACAGCTATGACGACCTAAGTTTTAAGTGTAGACCAGGCCCTTGTTCAAGTTAATGGGTGTGCCAGACACTCTTTCAGACTCAGTGGAGGGAGCAATCAAGACTCTTTCTGTAGTAGACACAGCTAAAAACAATGTAGGGACTGCCCAAGGCACAGAGCAGGTCACCAGCTAACCCATGTGGGTCAAGGGATTTCCCTGATTGCAACCATAGGGGCCAGTGTCT